AGTTTTCTATGGATTATCTGTGCAATTGATTTTTTTTTACTCTTAATACAAGTTTAACACTATACAGTAATATTGGAAATCTTGTTTGTTTTGGAACATTAAATTTTACTTGCTTAATACCGTCAACCATATTTAAACAATTATATATGATATTATCCATTATACTATTTGGAAAAACATTATTAATTAAAAATACATTTTAATAAGCACAAGGAGTTAATATTTTAAAGTACTATTATAATAAAGATTTAAACCTCTAAATGTATTTTTATGATACACTTCATATTAAAAACTTTTGTGTATAAATGTATCTAGGAAGATAGTCCGATGTTATTTTTGGTGATCCATAGTAAATCTTATATTTTCATGTTGTTTCAGTGGAACTTTAGGCAGGATAGACATAAAAACTTTAATGGATGGCGACTGCCTCTTGAAAGAAAGAAAAATAGACAATATTTTGACTTCTATGCTGAAGCTGAAATGTAATCTTCTTTTAACAGGCAATTGCAGTCCATTAAAATTTTCAAATCTATTTATATTTTCATGTTGATTAATATACTTTAAAAACTTACTGACATATTGAGGGCCACTAAAGATGGCAAATCCATTATCAATATATCTTTGATAATATAAAGATTTAAAGTTCAATGGACAGTTTTTCCAACCATTGTTTTTTTATACACAATATTAATAAATCACTTTCATTCATAAAAGTATTATCTTATAGAGCAGTAGTCTGATTTACTATTCTTTACACACATGCTAAAAAAATACCAAAAGATTCCAACCTACCACTGAATATTCTGTCATGGAGTAGTTTAGTATGCTCTACACTATCACGAAAATTGCTCTAAAGAAGATAGTTTATGGAACATTTTTCTGTTAACACTGATGTTTGATATGATTGTCTTGTTTTCCAGTGTGGTTTATTTTTGCAAAAGTCAGTTAGCTTTCCAAAGGAAGACTTTTTATTAATAAAATCAAAGTTTAAATGATATTTTTTAAAACAACTAGAACAACAAAAGCCAGTGTAAAATTGTTCAAATCTGTGAGAGTAAAGGTATGCTTCATAAGAAAAAACAGCAAGAGAGAGAGACTGTCATCAGTTAATGAGGCTCTCTACAGTTTTCGTCGATTTGACTTTTTTTTTTCCGAAAAGTAGCACAATGTGTGTAGTGGTATTCATGTACACTGATATTTGATGGGTAGCCAAAAGGAAATGTTATATAGAGGATAAGTTGAACAGGGACGGCAAAAAAAAAAACATAAATAGAAAAAAAAGTAAACAAAATCTTTATTAATAAAAATACAATGTGTGTTTTGTATATTTATTTATTGGCTGGCTTCTGTTGTTTGAATTTAACTGGCTTCAGATGCTGGAGAGGCTTTCCAAAACAAGAGTAGGAAAAATTATATTGCACTTTCAAGTAAGACAAAAGGTCTAAGTGTGGTATCCCATAATTCATGGATCATCTATTTTACAGAATATTCAGTATAACATATTTAAATGAGAAAAACCTCAACTCGCACACCATTTCAACATGTATCTATGTCACCTCAGAGTTGCCATCCTTCAGGGAATGGACGTAGACACAGGGCCAAACTGATACAAAATACTATGAAATGGCCATTGCCATATATACCCTTTATCTAAGTAAAAGTATTAGTACATATTTATGACCTTTCAATATCCAATTGAAAGAATGCCATAATTACATGCAGAATATCTTACTACAGATATATTATAAACTAGTTATGTAAGAGTAAAATTAACATTAGTTTGTATCATTATCACATTTTACTATTTAAACATTAGTTTGTATTGTTATTTTGCCATACAAACATTAGTTTGTATCATTATCACATTTTGCCATTCAAATATTATTTTGTATCGTTATCTTATTTTGCCATTCAGACATTTGTTTGTATCGTTATCTTATTTTGCCATTCAAACATTAGTTTGTATCATTATTTTGCCATTCAAACATTAGTTTGTATCGTTATTTTGCCATTCAAACATTAGTTTTTATTGTTATCTTATTTTGCCTTTCAAACATTAGTTTGTATCGTTATCTTATTTTACCATTCAAACATTAGTTTGTATCGTTATCTTATTTTACCATTCCCACTTT